ACCTGTTGTCTGTGCTCAGCTGTTAGAATAAAATCCAGATCTCTTTCTGTACATAAGCTTGTCACTAATGAGGAGGGAAAAAATGTACCCTTGATGTCCAAAACTGATCTGTTTACAGCTTGACTGCAATATTATTAGAAGCTGGTCTGAGGCTCACAGCCCAGTGAGCCTAAAAAATCTAAACAGTATTATAGAATAACAACCTCACACAAAGTTACTCGGAAACCATGACAAAATGAAACAAAACAAGGTCACCTCATAATTTTGTCTTGTCTAAGCACAGATAAAAACAAGATCACTGCATGCACAACTCACAAAATACCCATAGAATTGCCCCCACTTTCTGACAGCATCCAATCCAGAGCAAACCTCTGCTTCCTTAGAACCACCCCTGAATCACCCAAACCCTAAATCCCATAATAGGTTCTAACACACTCTTAATGAGACACCTCAGTGTTCCCCAAGGTATACATTTCTCCTCTTTGCAACAATAAACCCAGCTGTTTAATAGCTGGTGTATTTTTCATAATCTTTGGCTCAAGGGCCTTGGCACAGGCATTGTTCCCCTGCTCACCTGACTAACCTGGCTTCAACCAACTTGGCCTTCCTTCAGTTCCTTGAAGATAGGAAGTTCGTTCCTGCCTTGGGGCTCTGTACTTAACATTATCTTTCTCCTACTAAGGTCCACTCATGGCTAGCTCCTTCTCATCAGGGGAAATGTAAACTCTTAAGAATTAAAGAAAAGGAAAATGGTAAAGCTTTCTTAAAAATGGCAGAGTAATAATGAAAGGCATACACCAACAATGCCTACAGAACAGGCTATTCTTGTATTACAGTCTCTCACACTGGCTGTTGCTAAGGCTTTACCAACGAGAACACCATAGAAAATTAAATCTCCCAGTCCAAGTTTTGCTCCCCTTTCGCCTAGATCTTTACTAGCTGGGACATTGCTGGGAAGTTCCTGAGCAGCTCGTGATTTGAGTGTAGACCCATGAGGCCCTAGACAACTGTCCCTGTGGGTTCTCCACTCTTTGCCTTAATGGCCACTACTTTCAGTAATTCTCTACCACCTTTTTCATTTCCTATATAATTCTTATCACCTTCTAAATTGCACTATTGTGTGTCGCTGGCCTTCCTCTACCAGAATGCACATTTTAAGAGGTCAGGGACTATGTGTGCTCATCTTTGTCTCCTATTGCCTCTACCATTTCCACGAATAACTAAAACATTTTTTACCTTGAGCATTACAACATCTTAATGGGTTCCTCTGCCTCCAATCACTTTCACCTCCCATACAGACATAAATGAATTGCCTTTCTGAAACAAAGTGTAGATGCTGGCACTCCCCATTCCAAAACCTTTCATAGATTCTCTCCTCAGGGTGTTGTCACCTCACTCATCTCAACCTGTCTTCTACCATAGCTGAGAGCTCTGAACTTTAGTCATGCTGAATGGTCCCAGAGGTGCCACATGCTTTTCAGCAGCCAAGCCTTGACAAGTGCAGCGCTGCTTCTTTTATCTAAAAGATTCTTGCCCACTCCTCTCTATTTTTTCCTGAGGGCAAAGTCCTAGTCACCCTTCAAGTCCTCATTCCCAAATTGCCCCTTTTGAGAGGTCCCCTCTTTGATCTTTCCTTCTTCTGTCCCTCCACAGCTTGTTGTTGCCCACATGACACTACCGACTGCACAGACTTCTGTCGCAGTTAATTGTACATCTGCTTCCCCGAGACCGCATTTCAAGGGCAGAGACCTATCCGCTCTCTGGGCCTTGGTTTCTTAATTTGTAAATCAAAGTACTTTGTACCTACATCATAGGGTTCTTGTGAGGCGTAAATGAGTTAATGCATGCAATTGGAACAATGACTGGAACATAGTAAACACCATATAAATATTTGCTACTATTATTATTAATTTCTGCACTCTTAGTACTGGCCTAAAGCAGACGTCAATATGTATTGCTAAATTTGGTTGGAGTAGGGCAGGAAACTTTCAAAAGACTGAGCTTTAGAACTTAGAACCTGGCTGGGAATATTGGCCTTTTTTTTTTTTTTTCCAGTGTCTTTTCAAGTTATTTGTTGTACTAGTCTGTTCTCACACTGCTAAAAAGACATACCAGAGAATGGGTAATTCATGAAGAAGTTTAATTGACTCACAGTTCCGTATGGCTGGGGAGGTCTCAGGAAACTTACAATCATGGCGGAAGGTGAAACAGAAGCAGGCACCTTCTTCACAAGGCAGCAGAAAGGAGAATGAACGCAGTTGGAACTACCACACACTTATAAAGCCATCAGATCTCGCGAGAACTCACTATCACGAGAACAGCATGGGCTGGCATGATTCAATTACCTCCACCTGGTCTCTCCCTTGAAACGTGGAGATTGGCCGGGCGCAGGGGCTCACGCCTGTAATCCCAGCACTTTGGGAGGCCGAGACGGGCGGGTCACGAGGTCAGGAGATAGAGACCATCCTGGCTAACACGGTGAAACCCCGTCTCTACTAAAAAATACAAAAAATTAGCCGGGCGAGGTAGCGGGCTCCTGTAGTCGCAGCTACTCGGGACGCTGAGGCAAGAGAATGGCGTAAACCCGGGAGGCGGAGCTTGCAGTGAGCTGAGATCCGGCCACTGCACTCCAGCCTGGGCGACAGAGCGAGACTTCCATCTCAACAAACAAACAAACAAAAAAACAAACCAAAAAAAACTGTGAAGGATTATGGGGATTACAATTCAAGATGAGATTTTGGGTAGGGACACAGCCAAACTGTATCGTTTGTGTAACCTCCAATCCTACCTCCATCCCAAGCTTTGGAGACAGGAGTCAGGGATTTAGATAAATTAGTCCTAAGCTTTTACCTTACCTGTGGAAGAAGGGTTGATCTGACATGAAGACACCTGCTTCAGAATGTTATTTATTTTATTTTATTTATTTTTGAGATCGAGTCTTGTTCTGTCACCCAGGCTGGAGTGCAAATGGCACGATCTCGGCTCACTGCAACCTCCACCTCCCAGGTTCAAGCAATTATCCTGCCTCACCTTCCTGAGTAGCTGGGATTACAGGTGCACACCACCACGCCCGGCTAATTTTTGTATTTTTAGTAGAGACAGGGTTTCACCATGTTGGTCAGGCTGGTCTCAAACTCCTGACCTCGTGATCCACCCACTTTGGCCTCCCAAAGTGCTGGGATTACAGGTGTGAGCCACCGTGCCCAGACCAGAATATTATTTTTAAAAAGTTCCTGTGAGTGCCTTGTTCAAATAACTGTTACCCTGAAAGGAGTAACATATTTAGCCATTACCTCAGAATGCATTCCTCAGAATGGGCCACATCTTTCCCCCATCATATCAGGGGAGGGATGAAATATAACACCCTCAAATTATAGTAGAGGTGGCAGTTGGAGTGGCAAAAGAAGTCTGGATCATGAGGTGCTGTTCCTACAGCTCCTGAAGGATTATTAGAGGTGAGGGAGCTAGAGGGCGCTGCATACAAGAGAGCAAGAAAGACTTACCACATGTTTCCTAAAATGAGGTTGCTTTGATGGAGAAGCAGGAAAGTGCAGTGGGGGGATCCATGGACTGTAGGTCTCATTCTGCCACTTTCTAGCTGGGATGCCAGGGCAAATTGCTGAACCTCTTTGGCTTCTTCTTGCTGTGTTTAATGAAGAGATTGAACTAAATGAAGTTTGAGCTCCTTCTGGTATTAACAGGAGGGTGTAGGCATATGGTGGGATGATTCTAAGTCTAAATGCATGCTTTAATGTATCCTGGGCAGCTCCTTAGTCTGCATGTTTCCTTGGCTCCCTCTGGAGCCTACCAGGCTTCTCCAGGACTTCTCTGACCCCGCCTACTGTGAAAGCTGCCTCCTGGGTGAACAGCCTGGGTTGTAACTCTCCAGGGAGGTGGATGATTCCTGGAGGCTGTGAATGAGACTGGGTCGACCTCCAGTGGCCAAAAGCCAATAGGCACAATAAGGTGAAGTCGAGGCTGTGGCCAGATCATTCCTGGTAAGCAGGTAGTGTTCTCTGAGATACAGAGCTTGCTCCTCAATCCACTCTGTGAATCCAAGCTACCTGAGGCATTAAATATACTTGGTGATGTCTGTATGTCAGTTACAAGTAATTTCAGATACTCAATTTGTCTATAACAACTATGAAGTTACTTAGCTATTTTTCATCATTTTCATTTCATAAATGAGGAAGCTCAGAAAAAGAGTGACTTGTCTCAAAGTTTAGAAATTTATATAGACTTTGTTACAGAACAAAATTCGGTGCAAGCCTGTATTGGCTTTAACCAAGGAGAGTGGATTAGAGACAGAGAATGGATTTCAGAATAAGAGAATTTCTATTACTAGATGTCCTATGGCACAAGGTGTAGTGAAGTCAGTTTTAGAGTCAGAATTAAGACTCCAGCGCTGTCAGATGCTAGAGGAGGAAATTTGGGCAAGTTAATTTTCATTCTCATTTTCCTCATCTAAGAGATAATATGTCAGAGGATTAAATAATATAAAATAGTGCAGAGCTGCTTGACATGTTACATTATTCCCTTTCATACAATCCTAAATATGTAGATAGAAATACAGAATCTCTCGGTAACTGTTTCATATTTTCCTCTATGTGATTTTCAATAATTTGGTTTCTACCTCCAACCTGACTAAAAATGGGCTAGTCAGGATTCTTCTCTTGAAGTCAAAAGCTTAATTGTGGGAGGTGGGGGGGGGGGTCAATTAAGCCATGTAAAAGGAAATCTTTTTCATCTGCAGTCTAGCGGTTAGGACTACATATTCAGAGGGCAAAGCATTGGCCTGGTGATATAGGGGCAATCTACCTATTCTAGGCTGAATGGCCCTGGGAGTTTTGCCCAGTGTGAGTGGCCTGGCATCATGGAGATTTACTCAGCACGCTTGACTGAGCCTGGCCCTGGCTGGGAGGATTATGTTTCATCCAATGCTGAAGTCACTTGAAATTCCCCTCATTCATCCAAAGATACAGAAAAGAAGTAACTCATGGTATTGCTAAGAAAAGAACTTTATTGTTAGCTATTCTTGCATCTTTTGTTTTCTATGTGTTCAAACCAGATTGATCCAAACAATCTTTTATGTTAAGAATCACAAGCACATAGATTTTATCTCACACCCTGACATTTCATCAAACTATCAAATTATCTTATTCTGTCTTTATCTGTAGTTCTCAGAGTGCTACAGAAGCCAAGAAATGAAGTTTTTATCATTTTTCGGTTTTTGAATGTACCCACATTCAGAGAGCTCATTCTTGGATGGGTCTGATGCTTGCAGTGGAGGTGGGATGAGGCAGGAGGCCAAACCATTCTTTTAAAGAAATGTCCTGACCTAAAAACTACATTAGGAACCACACACACACACACACAGACACACACACAGAGAATCAACTGAAGTGAAATCCAAATTCTACTCCCTCCCCATCCCCTTCCTCTTTACCAATCCCCTTTGCATCCCGGAGGAGGTCTCTCTGCTTCTTGTGTCTCTATTTCACCCCTTAACAGAGATGCTCAGGTACCGCATGAGGAGCTGAGGATTCACAAACAAAATTCAATCTAAATAACTTTTCAGATATGTCTTCCTGAAACATTTACTAGTCCTCTCCCTGTCTGACAAGTGATCACAACAATGAGTCATCCTTTGGGCATTAATCCATAGCAGCCTGAAATAACAGCAATACCAGAGCTATGACTTTACATTTTCCATTTTTATTAAAACTCTCACTTCACTTAAACCTGATTATCTTAAGGCTAATTTTATTCCATGTTTGGCCTTCAAATTTGTGCTAATTTGCAAGCCTTTTCCAAATCACCTCTTACATGAATACAAGAAAAATTCTCATCCATGAAATTACTTGACTCAGGAAAACGGATCTCTTTACCCACAGAGGACTTTTCAGAAGGTACTTTCTGAAAAGGAGGCAGAAGAAATTGTTTTTACAAAATGAGTTAGGGCTAGAAACTAAATCTATGTACCTTAAACTATAATTCGATCTATATAGTTATGCCATGTATGATTTCCCAGAGATCTTGTCCGTATCAGATCAAGAGAATAAAACCTAATGAACAAAATCTTCTTGGGGTTCCATATCCCTAAAAAAACATAATTCCATAGTGTCATCATTATCCTCTTCTTTACTATAAGACACACACCTAGAACACTAATCCATTGTCAGTCCCTTTTTCTATTTATTCATTTCAAATAAACATGATGCAATGTCTACACATTCAGATCTCATACATGTTGCTTTTTGTGGCATGGCCTACTGATCATTTCCCCTGTATTGTTTTCTAAGATTAGCTTTCCCCACACTTCTTTTGGGTGCGTATTGTATGCTTCTTGAAAGACAAATACACAGCGTTTTGCAAAGTGCTGAAAACGCACTTGGTAAAGACTTGGTGATTCTGTGCCTTAATTGTGACTTACACATTTTTCTATCTCCTCCCATTCAATGGTTAGTACTTGTACCTTTTGTGGACCCTCTGCCACTTCAAGTCCACCTCTTATACATACATATTCCTTTATATGCAACTCATGAGAGCTTAAGCCAAGCTCCACTGAGTTCTGAAACTTCTACAGATGTCTGCTGCTATACCTGTTGAGCATAAAAACACTTGGAGAGGGGACACTCATTTTTTAAAAACTTTTTTTTTGGTGGAGGGAGTATGAGGACAACATCTTATATTAATAAGCAGAAACTTCATTATTTGAGAATGCTGCTGTTGAGCAGAAGAAATGATTAAGACAAAGTTTGAATGGAATAAGACTACACATTCAGTGCCAAAATTACAAATGACCACCTCTTCCCTTCTCTCATGACTTCTATTTTGTACTCAACCAGTACAGAGTATTTTGTAGTTTTGTATTAAGACACAACTCCTACTTCCTCCAGGAAACTACTTTGGGGCCCTGTTGATCTCCTTCCTTTAGCTTCCTAACAAACCTAGGACTTATAATTTCGACTGTGTGTATGTGCGTGTGTGTTTGTGTGTGTGTTTACAGAATCTCTGGTATCTCCAGTGAGAACAGAGTGAGCCTCACCCTTTCCTCATGACTAAGTCCAGAGAATGTGAGGTGAAGGAGTTCTGTGACTTTTTAACTTTAGTATTCCACTCACTGTCCACAAGGCTTGGGTTACACTGTCTGCATCACTGATTACAGTAACAGTGTGTGTGTGTGTGTATACACACAAACAACCATATTGCCACAAATGCATACTAGAAAGCAGGGCCTTACCTTCTCTGAATTGTTACAATGCCTAGCCCAGAGTACTCTGGTAATAGTGACTTCATGGAGTTTTGTACACACACCCATGTGAGAAAGGATATAAGCTAAGCTACTCATCCACACCTCATGAAACCTATGGGAGCTAGTCCTGACTCATGGTTCATTTATGAATACAGAAGCCCCAATTAATTAAATTAACTTGGTCTCCCAATCCATGATCTTGAGTTTTAATTGATAAGTATAAAATAGACACACTTGAAAATTTTTGCATTCACATCACACCACCAGTACATGGCCTTTTCCATTAATGTCCACATTGACCAACCTTTCATACTATGTGTGCTTCTTACAAGAAATTAAAAGCAGAGCCTGCCCCTTTGTTACGCAGCACAGAAGCTTTACTGTATAGTTTCAGAGTCTCTGGTATCTCCAGTAGGAACAGAGTGGGCCTCACCCTTTCCTCATGACTAAGTCCAGATAATTTGAGGTGAAAGTTTGATGACTTTTTAACTTTAGTATTCCACTCATTGTTCACAAATGCTTAGGTTACACTGCCTGCCTCACTATTTAAAAGTGAGGTAACCTGGTATAAGCTGTGCCCAACCCAATATTCGAGAACATTTAGTGCGCATTTTAAAATCAGGCTGTATTACTAAACATCCCCAGCTTCCAAAGTTCAGAAGTGTGGTGGGCCTAATCATTTTCCAAAATGGAATCTTAAGATCTCCAGCTGCCCTCTTCACTGCCAAGTATGAAAAACAAATCCTGACTTTAACGCTAAAATTCGCAACTGACTTCTGAGGACATCTAATGGCAGCTGTTTTCCAGCGACGGGAACAGATTACATGGATGCATCTTCCAACACCCTGTGACAAAGAGGTGCAGTGATTCATCACCAAGCCTCTAAAGTGCAAGGCACATAGGCTTTACAAGAATGATCTGTGTTCAAACTCTGTGTGCCACTTGTTAGTTGTGTGAGCTTAACCAAATCTCTGTGAGCCTGTTTTCTCATCTACTGAATGGGAGCACCACCACCTTGTTCACAAGGTTGTAAAAGCTGTACATAATATACATAAAGACCCTTGGCATATTGCCTCAATATAGTAGATAATAAAAGTTAGCCATTATTATTTTTATTCTCTTAAGAGTTTAAATCGACTAAAGAGTCTGATTTTAAATTGAATCTTCTCAGACCGAGTCATCCAGAACTAGAATTAACATATGTATATTCTGTCTGTAAGGCTGTTAAATGCCTGTAGAGGTTACTTAGAGGGTTAGAAAGATTAGAACCCTGAAGTGGAAGGACGTTGTCCCTGCTCCCACTCTTACACCTGTAGCACGTGCACGCGTGCACACAATCACACCCCCCAGGCTAAACTTGTATGCCCATTTGTGTATGTCTCCAATGTTACTTGATGAAAATGCCTGTAGTCCTTCAACAGGCTGCAGGTGGTCAGAGAAGAAAGAAAAAAAGTGCCTGTAGTCTTAATCGTTTTCAGAAATTTAAGATGCGAAAGCGAGGCCCCAGGTAACTATCTATATTCCATTAGAAGAGAAAGCAAGGGAGAAGGGGCTGCTACACATTCTTGTTGTTAGCAATATAATGGCTCCCACGTGCTGGGATCCCAGTCTGATGAGAAGAAATGACACGAAGGTCATGGATGGACCTCACTGTCCACTGTGAAAGCTCCTGCAGCACCTTTAGGCCCCACAGCTTCTTCTCAAAGAGACCACCATCTCCAAAACTAAAAGGCATCCCATCAGCCTCATTGCGGGGAATCTTGTATTCCAGGAGTATCATTAACTCCTCTATCTGGTATGCAAAGGCAGCAACTTGGAGAAGAAGGGTATGTATAGCTTGATGGAAGTCACCTTTGGTTGGGGTAAAATGCACCTGCTGGTCTTCTAAAAGCCTGGCCAACAAAACATGGAAGGTACGATAAGCTTGAAGGTTCTCTTGGAGTCGCTCTGCCTCGGTCAGCTCACTCCACTGATCAGTGCTTGCCACTGGCACCCCATCCACAGAATCCAGGTTGATGTTCTCGTTCAGGCCCTGATGCTTCACCTGGCCGAGGATACAGGAAAACACCACATCTTCTGTAATCACCCCAATGTCCTTAAATCACTCCTAAATTTCATACAAAATCTCACCCACCTCTCTGGCCAAGGATCCAAGCTGTAAAGTAAATAATAGGTCTACAGTAGGAACTCTTCATTTGAGCTCCATGACTGTGCTTTAGAAAGACCCAGTACTCCCTGAAATTGAGTACCTATGGATTTTTCTTGGAAGAATGTTCAGATTTCATTGAGTTCTAAAGTTTGAAAACTGATTTAGAAGAATTTCTCCTTCTCACTTCAAACTTTCTAACTGGAATATTTTAATCATATTAAAGTTTAAGTATTTTTAAACATACTTGTAGACACTAGCCACAACTAGGAAGCCCTGGAATATAGCCATTGTAGAATTTCTCTAACTTCCCTCTCCCCATTGAGCACTCCGAGAGAGTCTGAATTCTGTCTGGTGAGGCTGTACAAAGATAAATCAGTTCTCAGAGAGCCTAAATTCAAAACTCTCCACAGGGGCTGGAGTATTTCCACAGCATATCTTAGGTGGAAATTGATGGGGATCCCCCGGCTATTAGAAGACAAATCTGGAACTCCACAGTTAGCTCAAGAATTCGACACTTCCACAAGTCTCCAATGAATCTTCTAGGAGATCCTTTTGATAGCTTACCTTTTTCTTTAGACGTACTCTACTTTTGATGCAGAATACTAAAAGGTGGGTGGCTAATGCTATATAAGAGAAATTGGTAGGATTTGCAAATTCCTCCCACGTTCATAGTACTCTATCCCATAAACCTTTCATTTACATAGCTGAAAAATTCAGAACAATGGCTATGAAGAACCCAGAGGGCCCATGGCTAATCTGTTCTAGTAGTATTCAGGATATATGCAAACCAATTTGGAGTAGCCTCCAAGACATATAAGCCAATCCTATCTAGAACCCCATATATATTTTCTCATTCAAGTAACTCCTAAACAGCCTGAAGGAAGAAAATAAGGTCACATGGGTTTCCTCAAGGGAAGGGCCCATGTCAAATAACCTATATGAATGACTATATGATTAGAGCTTTCACAATTGGTAATGGAGCTGATGCATGATGGTAAGTTGCTGGATCAGAAAAGATGAAGGGAAAACAGATAACAGCAAAATAGGCAACTTACATAAGATTCCGTAAGAGCAGTCAGGTCTGAACGAATCTTCCTTGCTAGCCAGATAGAGCGGCTACAGAGGTCCCGACGGTGAGGGGTCAGCGGTGAATGCTCTGCGAAAGCCATCCCTTAACTGTCCCAGGAAACAAGTGAGCTGGGTTTACTCCTGTCTACACTGGTCCAAATAAGAAATGTGACTCTCACAGACTAAACCCACTGCACATTCTCTACTAATGGGATTGTGCACCCCACCCCCACCCCCTGCCTGACTCAGAGGTGGTAGCAAATTCCTGGCTGTGGATTTTTGTGCCTGTGGAATGAAAGGGCCCTTTTTAATCAGACTTTTTTTTTCCCTTGCAGCGTCTGCCTCCATCTCTCTCCTCCACTCAGTACTTAGCACACTTGTTTCTACGTCATTGTTTTGCTTTTGCACTTAGCAACAAGGTCACTATCATACTAATCCTCATGGCACCCCTGCCTAATGTAATCTATCTCATACACACTTAGAATCAGTTCATTTTATTATCACTCTCCCTTATGCTTCCCATGTTTTTCTCATAGGCTGGCAAAATGTTTATTCGATGAAATTATTATTGATACAGCTGCCATTTATTAAGCAACTACCATGGGTCAGACAGTGAGCTAAATACTTTAAAGCAATTCCATTTGATCTTCAGAATAATTCTGAGGTAAATGTTATTTCTCCCATATAATAAACTGAAACTTCAAGAAATAACATTCACAAAATCAAGTAACGAGGCTTGAATTTAAATAGAAGTCTGATTCTACAGTTGTTTCTCCCACTGACTTTCCAATTTCATTTTCTGTTTAGCTAGTTTACATTTTGTTCAAGAAACAAAGGTTGCGTCAAGGAAGTCCTTTAAAAACATAGCATTTTTTCACTCCCATCCTTAAGTACTTTTAAAGATAATTTAATTTAAACGTAAAAATCAAGCAAGGGAGCATCCCTTATTTCAATCATGGTGCCTTCCTGGTAGCTACAGAGGAGGAGGAAGGTACTATTTAGGCCTGTTCTCTTCCAAAGAACAGGAAACACCCAATGCTAACTTGGTAACATTTCTAAAGCAGTCTCACTCAAGTGACAACATGCTTTCCTTTTTTTCTCCCCTACCCAGTCATACCACATGCTTCTTAAAATAAGAGAATGAGCTGGACTTTGAAATGACAGTATAAGAGTTAAAAGGTACTTGGAGAGTTGTCATTCTATTGCATTTAACTTAGAGAATGATGCTTATTGGGTAAGGGCTAAAGATTTCATCCCTAAATGAAAGAATTAGCTTTCATTATTTATATCACAGATACTGCCAATAAGCTGAAACACATACTATCTTAGAAGCAAATTTATAAAAGTAAACAATAAATGGGAGATGTAAGAGAGCAGCCTGGGGCAGCTACAACAGTATGGCTTTTAAGAAGGCAGAAGGATTGTAGTTTTCTCTTTTTCAAAACAAAAACCAGTACTTGATACAAATATTCGATTTTGAGAAGAAGTATTGATATTAAACGCTATCAAGGTTTTGTCATTATCAGGGTAAAATTAACCTCACATAATCCTTAATGTTCCATCTACTAGGTTAATATGGCCAGTTTTCCTAGGAAGAATTTGTCAAAACATCAAGATTTCCAAGTTTGCTGAATAACAGAATCATGTCATTTCAGCATTAGAAATCAAGAACTAAACAGTCAAAAATCAACCACCTGATTCTCAACAAAAGCAAACAACAATATGCCCCACACAACACCTGTTCTGAGAGCATCTGATTTGCTTAGCAGCATCACATGTTTCACCCCTAGGATAACTGTAACTCAGTACAATCAAGGAAGACAAGTTGCTTCCATGAAGACAACTTTTATTTTTCTTCTTTACATATTTATTTTTAATATGCCTTACCTAGATTAAGAGAAAACAAAGATTTGAAAAGCAAAGTATCCCTTTTATTATAATTTCTTTTTACATAACCTTTTCAACCTATATTCAGGTAACTACCTGTCTCTCCCATGAAAGGAGAAGGGTCCTGCACATTACAACAGGCAAAAAAGGCTTTTAGGAAATAAAATATTTTAAATTGATCCATTACATTTGCTCAATTTTCGAGTACACTGGAAAGTGGGAAAAACACAAAAGGAGAAAAAAATGGCATTTCAAACAACCAGACTATAATAATCTTATTTAGATTGGTAGTACACTCTTTATATTTTTTCCCCAAACAGGTACAAAGGAGGTTCAAGTGCTCTATGTGGATGCTAGTCTATACCTTAATATTTTTATTTTACTCCCAGTACTCCCACGGCCATGGCCAGCGTTTGCCTAAACTCTCTGAAGCATTATCAAGGAGTCTCAATTATGCAAAATAATCTTAGGCAACCACAAAGAAGAGGGATGCACATCTCCCAGAAATATTCAATAGTTGTATCTCAACTACAGTTTCAGAATTTAGAACCACCAATTCAAGATGGAAATATGCAGTGGGAAGAGTTATTAAAAAGGTAACAGAATTTGACTAAGAGTATGAAATGTAGAATTTTAAGATTAAAAGAGCTCCCTGGAAGGACAATGAGGCATATGGAGCAGAAAGGAAAGCAGGGAAAGGGCTGAGATAGTTTAATTATACCAACTCTTTACTATGCAGCATCCCTTTATCGAAAGGAAAAATATAAAGTCCATAAAAAATATTTTGGTATTGCAAACTGCTACAATAATTTATTGTAGGCAAATGATAGCTATGAAGAGGGCCGTTGATCCCTAAAAGAAAAAGTACAGCAAGTTTCTAATTAGTAAAACTAACAGGTTGTTTTTTTTGTGGGTAGAGTGGTATCAGGAGAATACACTTTCTCCCATCTCAGAAAGATTTTTAAAAATGCAGTTTGCTTTTGTGTAGGAGGCTAAAATATCTGATGACTAACCACTGCAAATGAAATTTATGGAAACAAAGGATAAGTGTGACGAAAAAGCTAAGTGTGGAATATAGATGATAGCTAGTCAGAAAGTATAAAAGGGACCTGAGAGCAGGACAACTTTTTTGTAGATTCATCCAATCAATCTTGTATTTTCAAATCTACTCAATATACCAAAGTCAACTCCAAACCATGTTGGCAGGAAAGCATATTCTACATTCCTTCTATCTTTATGCCATTTTCTATCCCCATATTATGGAGAAATGGCAAATCTGCAACACTCTGAAAAGAAACAATAGCACATTTGAGACTGGTGATTGTAGGTGTCTCACTCCCTATTCCCTGGCATCTCAAATGCTAACAGTAGTGGGTATAAAGTAAGCCTCTTTCAGAAATGACATTTTGTTACTCTTCTTTTTGGGAAAAAAGAATTTAAAAAAAAAAATTGATAAACCATGTTTGTGAAAAACAAACTTTTTTTTTTCCCAGCAAAACGTCATTCTTTGCAATAGCCATCACGCATTTCTGACAATAAACAATGAATAGCGTAAGCCTTCGATTCTAGCTTTTGAGGCACACAGGATAGGAATTACTCTTTACCTGAAGATGAGCCAAAACAGGATTTGGGGCTTTTGGCGATATGACCTTGTACAAAAACACTACCTCTTCTCTCCAGTGAACAGCAATAAGCAGTCCATGCCCCAACACAATCTCTATCCCTAGGAAATTGTGATTCCCAGAATTTTAGGTGAAAGTCAAAGCAATTATTATATAGGATTATTAACTTTGGCTATTGAAGTTTTTCCTCTTCTGAAGTGTTACTAAAGGGGAAAGAGAGTTTAATTTGACTTAAAATTTTAGGACTCATAGACTTTGTTCCTTCACTAACAGCAGTGTCCTTCACTAACAGGGAGCTGGAATGAACTGATGATAAAAAGCAAAGCAAAAAACAAAAAGCGAGGAGCCAGAGATGGGCCCCAAGGGAAATGTAAGGAAATGGTAGGGGCAAAAAAGAGAAAAGAAATAAATTCACAAGAAACAATTTTCTATCTATAACTTAGATTCTGAACAACCCTCCTCATCCTCTCAAAATTCCTAAGTCTCAACGCTCTAAAAATCTCAAAGAGCATACTAGTTACCACGAACCTAACATTCTTCCCTAAAAAGGCTTCCAAAAAAGCACTAGGCTATTGTAGTGATTTTGTTAGTGCTGAGGACCAGCTTTCTTTAAAGGCCACTAGAGAGCTATGATTTCAGAGGCTGGCTGTGCTTCTTCAACCCTATGTCTTGCCTTCAACGTACCTGTTATGGAAGGGATCCCATGTCAAAATAATCTAATCTCTCTCTCCCAGCCCCACAAAATATAGCAACAAAGACTCCAAAAAGAAAAAAAAAAAATCAGACTTTGTTAATAAATAAGGAATCTCAGGTTCCACAACACAAAAACACACATGTTCAAAGTGCAAATTTCTGCCATTAGCCTGGGACTTTTCTCGTCGCCTCACTGATACAGAGCCCTGTCTTACAGTCGAAGAGACTATGTAGAGGGCAGCCCTCTCCCTATTGGGAGCCTGCTTCCAAGCAAGTGAGCACCATTGAGAGCCATATGGAGGTTTGGGAGGGGGACTGAGATGCTGGGATCAAAGAGGAGGGAGGTGGTCCCCATATATCCTTCCTTTCTGAAACCCAGTGGGGAATAAAGGAAGAGGGGATGAGAGATGTGTGCTGTTTTAACAGCTCACCCTGCTAAGGGGCCCTAAAGTGCCAAGTCAAGCTGCCAGCCTCCAGAGATTAGAATTCTATGGTATTTGAAGGTAAGTGTGCCGCAGGGGGTAGGAGCCAGAACCACAGGGCAGCAGTAGAGGAGGAGAAGGGATTTAGAAGACAGTAATATACTATTAAAAATTAAAAGCTGATCCAGAGCACATCAGAGTTACAGGTTGGAAAGGAGGATCTGCCGATGAGCAGGAAGTCTGCTGATGGCTGGAACCCAGTATGAGAATAACCCTCACTTTAAGAGCTGCTGCTGCTTCTTTTTTGTCTACCTTTCTGGTAAAGACAACATCAATTTTATAAGGGGAGCAATAGAGGGAGAACAGGGGATGGGAATTGGAAGGGGGTGTGTGTATGTATGTGTGTGCTGTGATCCACAATGGAAAGAGCAGGCCCTTCAGTTATTTCACTCGATTTTAAATGCTTTAGATTTTTTTTTTTTTTGTCCTTTTTAACCTTTAAATACAAAGTCTGAGCTGTCCCATGCCCCAAGTCTTCCTGTCCACTAAGGTCCAGTAGAGTCTGAATCTTCAATCAGAACCTCTGTGGTAGCACCGAGTATATCTGAGTTCATAACCAGCCCTTCAGTGCCTCCACTGCTGCCGCTTCCCACAAAGATCTTCCCATCAGCCATCAGGCTCACCCGTTCTGTCCCACTGCAGTATGACTTTGACATCCCTTCAGCTTCTAGCAGTAGGCACTCTCCAGAGGTTGAGTTTCCCAAGGGCTCAGGAAGAAGAGGAAGACCCTGACCATCTGAAGGCTGCGTCAGGGACTCTGGGTTAGTGCCCAAGATATCTGTGCTGGTGATGAGGGCGCCTGCATTGGCAGCCAGAGCTTCTGCAATCAGCACCTCAGGGTGGCTTTTTGCCTTGTGTGCCACCACGCTGTCCTTCTTCTCAAATTTTTTGCCACAGATATTGCAAGAAAACTGGTAGAAGGAGTCTGCATCATGTTTCTTCATGTGCCAATTAAGAGATGCCTTTTGTCGACAAGTAAATCCACAGATCTCACATCTAAGGAGAGGAGAAAAGGAAATGGCTGATCCAACAGAGAAATAAAGAGTGCTCTTATTCAGGGTCAGGGTTAGAATTCAGAGCTCACATATATACATACATGCACAATAATCAGTAACACACTTCTTTTGAAGGATTGGGAAATGTTACTAGATGGAAAACTTATCTGATTTTCTTCTGTTTGCTTGAAAAACAGAGGGAAACTAAGAAAAAGGCCACTAACTAATGCTCCCAATCAACATCCACTCATTTATTTGATGAAAGTAAACAGCAGTGGAAACTAAAATGTTTGTAAAGTGGCAAACCTTCAAGTAGGGCATATATCCTTCTCACCCAGATGTTCACCAGTAAATAACACTCACTGTAATGGCTTCTCGCCAGTGTGAATCATCCGGTGCACTGCCAGATTGTGGGAACTCTTGAAGGCCCGAGCACAATATTCACAGATATAATCCCTTTGATCTACGAAGAAAAATACTGTGGTTAGTGTTCTATTTAGACACCCTGTAAAATACATATTTTCCCTCCCTTACAGTAAGTAAGCAGATGATGGGGCAGGTAATTTAGAGTAAAAGCAATGCTATTTTCAATGTATAAACACTTTCGGTAAACAAAATTTAAAAAGGAAAAATATTGCTTTAAGAAAACATCCAAACACACAGTAGCATAAGGACCTGTTTAAACAACAACAACAACAACAACAAAAAACACAAACAGAAAAACTAGATAAAAATATAAGAACTGGAATCCTCATCTCAATTTTACCACTAATCCAGGTCTTGGATACCAAGTGTTT